CGACTTTATTTATTTTTTTTTATTTTATTATTTAGTTTATTTATTATACTACAATTACATGGAAATTAATCATTCTTCTTCAACCTTTTTATCTTGCATTCTTTTATAATTCTTGATACATTGAAGTCTTTCAAAATTGAAAGGTTGAAATAGAATATCTTTAAGAATGCAGACTCAAGACACTGCTACAAACGAAAGACCAGCAGCGAATTCTTTTTCTCCAAAATCTATTATAGCTTTTTGTAAAATAAGTTCTTGACTTTTATGTATGGTAATAGTCCACGCAATATAGATAGGGATCTGTAAGTATGAACAGGATGCACCAGTTTTACTTTCCCAGGTATGTCGAATTGGTGTAATTGAAATGACTTTTGTACCATCTAAAGCAATAATAGTAGGACCCTTATAATTATCAAAGGTGATGAAAACCACTATAGGAAGGCAAGGTGGTTCTTGGTCTCTAAACAGAATGTCTTGGACTGTTTCCATTGAGCCATTAACCAATCTGCATTCCGTGAAAGTGGCTTCGAAGGTTTTTTATTTCGTTTTTTTATTTATTTTTTTTTAATTTTTTTTTTTGTATTTGAAGACATGTGCACTTAATCGATTAATATAACTAACTGCCAGTAAAAGGGATATTTTGAAATATGTAAAAGTAAGTATTCATTTATTTATTCAGAGTAAAGTGTAGGAGATTATAATAATAGTGACTAATTTATATTATAGAATTTCATTAATTGGATTGTTTAATATATATCTAAAATATTAAAAACAAATAATATTGATAAACAAGATTTTAAATTAAATAAAGCAAATATATCTGTTTTGAATTTAATTTCTAAGATAAGATTTATTAAAAAAAATTGGATAAATTATAAATCAAACTAGTTTTAAAAAAATTTTTCAAATTGAATCAATTTAAAAAAAATCAAATTAAATCAGATTTGAATTTAATCAAAACCAATTTAATTTATAAAAGTTAAAAATTAATATAATGAATATATTTGAAATAATTAAAATTGTACTAAATCAAGTTTAATAATATACAGTATATAAAAATTGTTAAAAATATACAGTATGTATAATTAACAAAGATATAAAAAAATTGGTTTTAATATTTGATTCAAATCAATTAAAATGACAACTTTTTTATTTATTTTATTTAATTCTAATAAATAATCAGATAATGATTATCAAGAAATTATGCTTTTTATAAAACTATAAAATAACCAAATGATATTTAAATATTTATTAAATTTTAAATCTTATTATTAATTATTAATCTTATCAAATAATTACTTTTCCTATATTTACAATATATATCAAGTCCGTGATTATTAAGAAAAAAATCGAGGTGAACTAAAAATTTCAATAACATTGTTTCAATAATAAAAATGTATATTGTATAATGCTTATAATTTATAATTATTTAAATATTTAAGCACATTGAATAATGGAGTTATTTTATTTTACAATAGTTTTGATTGTTAAAATGAATTTTGTTATTAAATCAGCTATTTTAAAGTAATTAAAATTTGATTGATATAAGAAAATCAAGGCAATTAATATCATATAATAGTTGATTTTTGATCTTTTTATTTCAAAAATATGATTTTCGTATTTATTGAAGAATTCAATAAGATAAATGAATGATTATAAAAGATTCACCTCTTAAATTCATTATATTATTAGTTATTATACAGTATATACAGTATATATGTATCATCGTAGATTCAATGAAATAGTCCAAATACAGTATTTACTAAAACTCGGCATTACTTGGTTTATTCGATATGAAACAAAATATATCTCACCTCTAATACAGATGTGATCGACAAGTATAATAAATATATTGCATCTCTATAATACAAATATGATTAAACAAATAATAAAATATTGACGGATATTAAAGCCTATCGGATAAACGCAGAATTCTTAATCCTGGAAAATGATCAACGGTTCTGGTTGAACATCCCAAGGTTCACTCAAATAGGGAATAATGACTTCATTTTGAAAGTATTCCAATCCAATTTGCATCTAAATAAAATTAAAAGGAATGAATACGATGTTCTCGTAAAATAATTCGCAAATTATGATGATATATACTCACATGAGGTCCGTCGCAATCTTTAAATATCAGTTTCCCAGTCTCATCCAACTTTTTCAGTCCAATCCAATCTTCTTTGTACAAGGGTTGTTGGCGAATCGGAATTACTTCATTTTCTTCATTGTAGAAAGAAAACCACTGGAAACAAGAAAGTTCGTTAAATTTCATTTTACACAGTATACCCAAATTTTCTATATTCTTACGGCGGTATCTCTTGGCTTGACGGTCACATCCTCGGTAAATCGAATCAGCACGAATTTATTCAAAGACGCTAGATTTTTCGCATAGGTCTTATTCTTATTTTCAAGTTCGTTGTTAATGTCAGGCAAAAAAATATTCTGTTTCAGATAAAGTTCAAGTCGATATGGATCCTTATAATATTGAGCCTGAACTATATGACCGCGAACATAACCCGAATATACCCCGCGACGCGTTATAGAACGCATCATTTGACACCATCCATCATTTTTCTCACAACCAGGAATATCGGAGACACCTGTGAAACAAACGAAAAATAATTAGATGCTGTGGAAGTAACGCCAATAAAAATAATTAAGGTGATTAACCTCCATGCTGTGAGCCAAAAGTGATTAAATTGTGAACAGGCGGATTATTACATCGCTGCACGTAAGCACTTGATTGAAAGCGTGCATGATTGGATGAGTAAGGGTGCATAGGGGAACGATAAGTAATTTAAATTCTCTGTGCCTACCGAAGAAATTGTCCACCCTTTTGTATAAAAATTATAATGATTTCAATTGATAAATATAAGTGCGTCTTAAAATGGAAATATCGAATATACAAGGAGTTACCTGCGAAAACCCGATCGCATTGAAACCATCTCTCAGATACTCATTCTCTTTTAATTGTTCACAAACTTGTTCTATCTGTATGTTGCAGTAGTAAAGTTTAGTGTAAAATAAAGTGTGCGATTGTAGGGAGCATCTTACCTGTTTATTTACGTTGCCAAAGAAACCCGCTTTTTTGTCTTCACCTTCGTCCTTTCCTAACATAATCGAGTATGTGTAAGTTCC